GTGGAACATGGTACTGACATCTGAAAGCGAAGGGCTAGGTACAGTTACACCTGCTTTGGTGTGCTGAGATAGATTTCTTGAGCTGTCTTCTAACCAGACATTTATACTTTTCTGTGTTTTTTTTTTTGAGGCTGATGAAAGAAAAAATGTTTAACCCTTAGAAAAGGCTGTTTAACTTCCTCCTTAGTTACCAAGGGACTGAAGAGCAGTTCATCCTCTTCACATGCTATAATACATCCTGCTTCTATGCAACATCAGAAACATTTATTGCATATTTCTGCCTTTTCTACATCATTGTTAACAATTTTGTCATCTTCCTTTGCAGTGTAACTATATCATTGTTAGGTGTATATTGACTGTTATCTAATTGCAGTGCTTTCTTTATGTTATCTATTCCTTTTTTGTTTCTAATTAATATCTGTGCTTAGCCAATGAACTATGATGGGCTTTTAACCAAAGTTCTATGGCAAAGGGACACTTAAATCACCAGGCCTCTTTGTAAAATCCTGTCTTCATTGACTTTCTAGCGCACATTAAACCCCGGCTGGCTGGAGGACACAGTGGCTGCTCAGGACGTGTGGAGATAAGAGATGGAGAATTATGGGCCACAGTCTGTGATGAGCACTTTGATCTCAAAGCTGCCAGCGTCATCTGTACTGAACTGCAGTGTGGAACGGTTCTGTCTGTCCGAGGGGGAGCTCACTTTGGAGAAGGACGTGGACAAGTCTGGGCTGAAGCATTCCAGTGTGAAGGAACTGAGTCCCACCACGCGTACTGTCCCAGGGTGTCACACGGCAGCCAGACATGCTCACACAAAAATGATGTCGGAGTCATATGCTCACGTAAGGATTCAGTCCTAAGTGTTTAAAATCCCAGGGTGTGTAGTTGGGGTTAGGACGCAGCAGTAACATGATCACACTCTGTAGGGAGCTGGGTTGGCATCAGCTTCTCATAAAATGCAAATGATCCAAGACAATCAGAGAAAGGACAAATCTCCCAACTGCCAACTGCCTAATGGCACCAACAAAACAGTTTTACCCCACCCCATTACCCCCAATCATGCCAACCCCCTTCCTCCATCACTCGCTCTCAACCCCCCTCACTGAGCAAAAGGCTGAGGTGCAGGAGGGGGTGCGGCCTCTGGGAGGGAATTTGGGAGGGGCTCCAGGGTGAGCCTGGGGCAGGGGTGGAGGGGTGGGAAGGGGTGTGGTGTCTGGGCACTGGGAGGGAATTTGGATGCAGTAGGAGGTGGAGAAGGAGCGGGGACTCCAGGCTGGAGAGTGTTGGGGTCAGGTAGAGGGTTGGGTTGCTGAGCAAACTGCAGACTTGTGGATATCAGGGTGCAGGAGTTTGGGTTGGAGTGTATGAGGGGCTCAGGGCAGGGGGGTGGGTGTATGATGGGCTCAGGGCACAGGTTTGCAACCTGTGAGTAGTACAGAAGTGTTGTGGATGTGGGGAGTGCAGGAGTTTGAGAATGTGGGGGGCCCGGCAGGGGGTTCAGGTGTATGATGGGATCACGGTTGGGGTATGTGGGGGGAGGATGCATGGGTGTTATGATGCTGTGGCCAGCTGGGGACTTGGCCCCAATTGGGCTCTTGTTGGCCGCCGGGCTTAATTTTTAAATAAAATAACATGTCCAACACAAAACGTTTCAACATTGTCTTTATTTATGCGAGGGTCAAGGAACATTTTTTGGGTCCGGGGCCACTGAGCCACAGAAAAATCAGTCAGGGACCACATAAGTGAGATGTAAAAAACCAACTCCTCCAAAAAACCCCAACCCTCACTGATGTGGCCCCAACTGAGACACCTCACTCCCATGGCACTCCAGCCCCATGGTGGGTTTGGAGCAGGAAGATAGGTAGGACTGAGGTTTATGACCTCAGGCCAGATTAACTCTTCTGGGGTTCCAGGGCTAGTGGATTTTGTGGGCCCCCCTAGGCTCTGGGGTGGGGCCAAAACTGAGGGATCCAGTGTGCAGGACAGAACTGCCAGGGAATAGGATAGGGATGGGGGTGCAGAATCTGGGTGGGAAGTAGGATACAGGAGCAAGCTGTAGGTAGGTATCTGGCCAGGGGGCTGGGGCAGGAACAGGGTGCTGGTGAGTATCCGGCAAATTGCCCTGTCACTGCCCTGGGGGCCTCTCCGTGCTCACACGACAATGATGCCGGTGTGGTTTGCTCAGGTAAGTGCAGGAGCAATGCTGGATTAGTGACACCTGCCCTCAGTGCGTGACACTACCACAGAGCAGGGGGACCTCAGAGCACAGCGAGGGGAGGGGGAGCTGGATCCTCAGCCTTGTATAATAATTGCAAAGGTATGGAAAATAGCATCACAAAGGAACAGCTGGGCCCAGGGAAAGCCCTGTGTTCTCCAGCAAAAATGTCAGCAAGTCTGTCCTTGTGCAGGGCAGGGCAGGGCAGCGTGGGTTAGATAAATATTCCCAATTTCATGTCCCCATCCTTCCCCAAATCACTGCTACAGCAATTAGAGGGGGAGCTACTAGAGACTCCCAGCTGGTGGCTGCTTCACATTTTCCACTTTCTGTAAAATAGTCTCGACACCTTCTTGAGAAGATTTCATCATGGAACTGGAGGAGACCTGGGAGATCGTGCAGCCCAGCCCCCTCACTGACTGCAGCAGGCTTTGCTGTTTGGAAGGGGGGCAGTGCTGGGGCCAGGGAGGTTCCTTTCCCTAGTGCAGCAAAATCCCTTCCCTTGGCTGAATTATAAAGTGATGAAAATGAACATTTCCCTTCTCTCCCTTGAGTGCCTAAGGGTATTTTTGGCACCATGCCACAGAGAAAGTAGCACTTTGTCTCACTTTTTAACACTCTTTTCAACCTTTCCAGTTGAAAAAGCCTGACAAAATTATTTCCCCTGCTTTCTCACACTCTTTTTACTTTTTTCTCTTCTTTCTTTTTTTTCCCCCAATGGAAGAAAAGATGAAAACATAGAAAGGGGGAGGAAGGGAGAAAACTTGTCAACCCAAATATGAAAAGGAAAATTGAATTTTTCTTTTTCCAAAAGTTCAAATGAATCAAGCTATTAATTAAAATCTATACCGGGGTAGACAATAATTTCAGATGGGGGCCACTCCAAGATTTTGGCAAGTTTTAAAGGGCCACACTTTTCTATAGAATGGCTGTGGGGTCTGGAACAGAGGTTGGGTGCGGAAAGGAGCTCAGAGTAATGGGTTAGGGTGCAGGAGAGGATGTGGTGTCTGAGAGAGAGTTTGGGTGAAGGAGGAGGCTGTGATCTGGGGCAGGAGTTTGGGGTCATAGGTGTGGGAGAGGATTGTGGCCTGAGGAAGGAGTGTAGGCAGGGGTGCAGGGTGTGGGAGGGAGTTGTGACTTGGGGGAGGGGGACAGGAGGGGTTTGGGTGGTGACCTGTGGCACGGAAATAGGGTGCAGGTGAAGAGTCTGGCCTGGGTGAGGGATGTAAGAGGGGGTGCAGGGTCTTGGAGGGAGTTATGACTTCGGGGAGGGAGGTTGCAGAGGGTTTGGGTGATGCCCTGGGGCAGGAGCAGGTGGTGCCCTGGGGCAGGGAATTTGGGTGCAGGGAGGGGGTGAGATGCCAATAGGCAGGCAGGCTCTATCCGGGAGGCACTTACCTAAGCTTTTACCAGCAAGCAGTCCCTAAATGCTGCCTGCCTGCCACACTTCCAGGCTGCTCAAAACTGCTGGCTGCTCCATGTGGCACTCTGCTCCAGGTGCGGGGGAAGGGAGGCTTTGTGTGCTGGCCCCACCCCCAGCAAAATATCACAGCCCCTATTGGCTGGGTACTGTTGGGAGCAGTGTGCACAAAGCCTCCCTTTTCCACTGGTGCCCAGAGCAGAGCCAAAATGTGCAGCAAAAACTTAAAGTGACTTGTTCTGCTCTGTGCCTGAGGGCTCTGGCGGGTCAGAGCATCCTGCAGGCCAGATCTGCGGGCGAGGTGTGACAGATCCAGCCTGCAGGCTGCATCTTACCCACCCTGATCTAAACAAAGATTGTCATTCCATTTCCACATCCAAATCTCTTGGATTTCCTTAGAATTGAAATACGGCTTTTGAAATACTTCACGGGGACACTTTTGAATTGTCGACCCACTCTGATATTTCCCTCACTCACAAAAACGGTAAACAGCGCTAGTTAGTCAAAACTAAATACTCCAGGAATAGGAAATACCAGCGATAAAGTGGCCCTGATGCAGATCCTGAATATTTCAGGTCTAAAGGTATGTCTAAACTACATGGCTCCGTCGACGAGTTACTGTACTCGAAAAAGGGAAATGAAGCGGCAATTTAAATAATTGCCACTTCATTTACATTAAAATGGCTGCCGCGCTGTGCCGATCAGTTGTTTGGTGGCACAGCATGGTAGTCTGGATGCTCCACGGTCGACAAGGGAAGCCTTTGTCAAGCTCCCTGGTAAACCTCATTCCACGAGGCATAACGGGATGGTGGACAAAGGCTTCCCTTGTTGACCGCGGAGCATCCAGACGACCGCGCTGTGCTGCCAAACAGCTGATCAGCACAGTATGGCTGTCATTTTGATGTAAATGAAGTGGTGATTATTTAAATTTCTGCTTCATTTCCCTATGTCTAGAAACCTCATCTACATGGATCTGATGACGGAGCCATGTAGTCTAAACATACCCTAAGGCTGTGGCTAGACTGGCAATCTGATTTTCTGGGAAAACTTGCCAGCTGTCTACACTGGCCACTTGAATTTCCGGAAAAGCACTGAAGATCTAATGTAAAATCATCAGTGCTTTTCCAGAAAAACTATGCTGCTCCCATTCAGGCAAAAGTATTTTTCCAAAAGACTTTTGCCCGAAAGGGCCAGTGTAGACAGCACAGTACTGTTTTCCGCAAAAAAGCCCCGATCGCGAAAATGGCGATGGGGATTTTTTGCGGAAAAGCGCGTCTAGATTGGCCACGGACGCTTTTCCGCAAAAAGTGCTTTTCCGGAAAAGCATCCTGTCAATCTAGACGCGCTTTTCCGAAAATGCTTTTAACGAAAATCTTTTCCGTTAAAAGCATTTTCGGAAAATCATGCCAGTGTAGACGTAGCCTAAGAGTGAAATCTTGGCAATACATCTGACCAAGTGGCTTTTACCCATAAAATCTTATTCTCAAATACATCTTCAGGGGGTAGTCAAGTTAGTCTGGACAGGATGAACTTTAAAAAGTTACCATCTGCACGTCTTGTTGGCTTTAAGGTGCTACCAGACTATTTGTTGTTTTTTCAGTTTATCAAATAAATCTGACAGTCTTTAAGTTTCCACAGGACTCCTTGTTTTTACAGGTACAGACTAGCACAGCTAACCCCTCTGAGAAAAGTCTCCACAGAGCTTCTAGACTGGCTGGAGCTGGGGTCCTTACAGACAAATCCGCTGCAGAAGCCTCAGATTTCAACCTTCCTGCTAGGAATGTGCTTGTAGCTTCCAGAGCTCTTCCACAGAGTCCAGTGTTGCTGGTGCCATTGCACGGCATGAGTAGCCTACAGGGTCCTGCCCAGCACCTCAGCCTGTCTGCTCTCTCCCTCCCAGCGGGTACCTTTGTACCTCGGGGGGATCATCTCACAGCTCTCTGGCTTCTCCCCAGCATTGCTCTCTGCATTCCCAGCTGTATTGCCTGCTGCAGTCATGGCCTGTCTGCCCTAACTAGCCACCCAACCCACCCCTTGGTTCCCAGAGGGAACTCCTCAGCACAGGAGGGTTCTGGTTCCTCCCTGGAAGGAGAATCCCTCATAAGGAAAAACTCCTGGTCCCTTCTGCTATGATCA